TCTAAGAACTATTTTCTTATCACTACACTGCAGGCCAGCTTGCTTGGGTATCTCAATCTCTTAATTCTCAGCTAATAATTTAAACTTTATAGAGCCAATTTCTTGGTTAGCAAGTTCCAGGTCCTGCCTTCCAGAGGAAGCCCATTTCCCCTCTTCTGACATCGGGGCAACTGGAAGAACCATATTTACATCATCCTCCCATGGCACCCTGGGCCTTCCCTTCTCCCTGTAGCTTCTCGTAGTCATCTTTCTCCTTCTTCTACAATGGGATACATGTCCACCCAAATCTCTCCATGCAGATGTCTGCAAAATTGCAGAACTTGGTGAGGGTTCCCACAAACCGTTGTCTGGACCACAAATAGGTGTGTGTGTGTCTGGAGGCATGTGCATGTAATCCAAGGCACCATATTATAGTGGCTTAAACAGGTTTCCCTTTAAAGAGAAAGGACAGAGAGGAGAGAGAGAGACTTTCTAGTGACACAACATCCATTTTATTCGTGGTATTGAAGATTGAACCCAGAGGTGCTTTATCACTGAGTTACATCCTAGACCTATTTTTTTTTTTAATCAAATTAAGCAATAAGGAATAACCTGCCTGATGTCATGCCTAGCATGTGGTAAAACATTCAGCAGTCGGGGTTATTTGCACCTGTGTTCCTGCACCTGCATGTCAGATATATTTGATTTTTAACATGGGCAGTATACACTCTGTGGTCTTGCATAAGAACCACTAGTGGGTAGAAAGAAATACCACCCCAGCCTGCACATGCCCCAGTGCATGTTGGGAAGATGCTGCTGACTGTGGCCACTGGGAGTTACCCTGGGGATGATTGGTCGGGGGAGACTCTTATTTCTCTTGTGAGCCTGAAGAGCATGTATATCCTCCCCAGTTGCTCCATTTGCAGGGAAAGGCTTGGAGAGGCAGCTGGGATCACATCATGAGCCTCCCTTCACCCCACAGACATTAGTGTCACCCCAGGATTGGTAGGAGCCCTACGTGGCCTYCCTCCAACACTGGAGGGAGTGTTTGCTTCCCTCTCTCTCTCTTTCTCTCTCTCCCTGGCCCACTCTTGAAGCTGGAATCTATTCTGCAAGAGCTAAGAGCATGGGCCACTCCCAGGCCCTCAAAGTATCAGGGTAGGTAGTGTCCTGACCTGCCTGCAATGAAGAAGAATGGGGTAGTTTGCTGGCCGAGGCCTGGGCCTGGCAAGAACTGGGTTGGCTTGGACAGGAGCTTGATCTCACTGGCACAAAGGTGCCACGTAGACAGTGTCCTGAGCACTTCCCATAATGTGGGACACCAGGGGAGGTGGGCCACCAGATTCCTCCATCTTTGCTGTGTCTTAGGTGACCCTGAGGCCCACCCCACACCCTGACCAAACAGTTGATGGGGACACGTGGCAGCAGCCTCCAAGGCATCTTGGCATAGCCAATAAAACACACCATTGCACTTGGAGGTTTCTGTGGTCTTCCACTCTGTCCCTGGGCCTCACCCTCGTGGGACTCGTGAGAAAGTGCTAAAATTTAGTCATCGGTTGGGGATCAGGGGTGGAGCAGGGTGAGGGTTGGGTATGGGTGAGGGTGAAAGGTGGGGTGAATTCCTTGCAAATGCAACTTACTCATGTTTAAAAGCTAAAAATGTAAAAAAAAATGCCTTGGGGGATCATGAATGTGAATGTCAGTTTGCGCCCCCCACCCCAAACCTGAGCAAAGCACCTGCAGTCTCTTGAGCCCTGAGGCCTGCCCTTCGTATGCTTGCAAGTCCTCTCATCCTTGGGCTGAAGCTGCACAATCCTTCCTGCTTAGGGTTGTGTCTGTCACCCAGTAATGTAGAGGACAGCTGGACTTCTCAGGAGCTCACACACCCCTTGAGCAGAGCCTTGGAGATGCAGGGTGGTGTACCCAGGATGACCACCAGGCGGCACTGCCAGGGCACGAGGAAGCCCTGGCCAGTCCTGGCCTGGGAGTTGAGAGAGCAGATCCTGGTCACTCCCCTAGCAAATGAAGCCCTGTCGTAATTCCCGATGCGGGCCACAGACCTCCACCTGTGGGGAGGCTGCCCACAGTCAGATCTTCCTCCATTAGCATCTCTCTGCCATCATAGCTAGCCACCTCCCTGGACCTCAGCCATCTCTGAGGTCCAGTGACTGCATCAGTTCCAGGCATCTTTGGGACTCTAGTTTTTGGCAGGTCCGGAATATTATGGGGTACTCCTGCCCCACTCTGTGGACGTGAAATGAGGTGGGGACTAGGGGGAGGGTCTTTGAGGGAAGAGACACGGGGAAAGAGGGCACTTGTGACTGCTGCAGTGAGAAGACGGACAGAGGGCAGTGTCCCATTCTTGGTCACTACTAGGACGTTAAGTTCTAGATTCCTACCACCCCTCCTCCAGGCCCTTGGTCCTAGAGCATTACAGAATGCAGAGTGACCTTCTTGAACCTGGCCTTTGTGTGACTTCAACAGTTTTCCCCTTAAAGAGAGAGAGAGGACAGAGAGGAGAGAAATATCTTTCTAGTGTCACAATATCCATTTTCCCCCCTGTACTGGGGATTGAACCCAGGGGCGCCTTATCACTGAGTTACATCCCAGACCTATTTATTTTTTTATTTTGAGAGAGGATCTCACTATACTGCTGAGGCTCACCTTGAACCCTAACCCTCCTGCTTCAGCCTCCTAAATTGCTGTGATCACAGACGTGTGCCACCATTCCTGATAGTATCCAGCCATTCTTGAAATATTCATTAAGCACTTACTATGTGCAGTCACCGTGCTTGATGCTGCTGGTGAAGAGATGCTCTGTTATATACTGAAAAAATATTAAGTTTCTTTCTGGGTTCAACTCTGCCCCATGCTTCATGTTGGCTGCGTGACATTAGGCAATTTACTTGATCTCCCTGAGTCTCAGTTTTCTCTTTGTAAAACAGGACATCAGCACACATCTCCCAGAAATGTTGTAAGGATTCAACTAGATGATGTATGCCAGTGATTGGGCACACACACAAGTCTCAGAGTAAACTTGGTCCCCTTCCCCTTTGGAAAGACACATCCCTTGGACATATGTGCGCCTGTCCCTCATCTTGCCAAGCCCATGGAAGGCATCATCCTGACCCAGAAACCCGTGTCTTGGCAGCAGCTTCGTGGTCCCCACATAGGCATTTTTAGAATTAAACCTTAAAATATATATGTATACACTCTCTGACCCTGTCTGGGTTCCATGCCAAGCCATCAGTTGAAACCACGGAGCAGCTCACAAGGTGATGCTCGCCAGGATAAATAGGCATTGGCAGCCAAAGAGGTGACACCAATACTGGACAGAGTGCAGACTGCTGGCACAGAGGCCTGCCATTTGTCCCTGTTCCTTGCCACCAACATGGAGGGCTGGATACTTGGCACTGGCCATGAGACTATGGGGTAGGGGGCAGAGCAGATCCCCTAAACTGGGAAATGAGAGATGGCTGGGCCAGGGAGTGGAGCTTGTCCTAGAGAAGGTACCTCAAAGGCTCTGGAGAGGGTGGCACAGCATGCACCCTGCCCACCCCACGCGGCTTCCCTTGGCCAACAATCATGGCAGCCAGTTGCCAGTGACCTGAGCTCAGTCTCGAGGAAAAATACCGTTCAAGGGATTCAGAAACGTGTCCTCTGGCCACCAAAAGGAGCTGGCTCTCCAGCTGAGTCCGTGGGTCGGGGAGGGACAGAGGGGCAAGATGGCTCTTGCAGAGGGCTCAGGAGGCAATATGGATGGAGGGGAAGGGAAGTCTCCAGAGAGACAGAATTCCCCTGTTTTCTCCATTGTTTCACCTTCATCTGTCTCAGTCTTTGATGCTCCTGCTGCAGTCAGATCTTCCTCCAGTAGCCTTGGGAGATCATAAATGGGAATGTCAGTTTGCGCCCCCCAACCAAGGAGGCATTGGCGTGGTGGGTGGATTCCATTCAGTGACTCTAGACCCCAAAGTAACAGATAAACCACATGGAACAGGGGCAGGTCCTCTTGGTTAGTGGCCTCGGGGCCTAGCATGGGGCATGATACCAAGTGTATGTTTGATACAGGTTTGTTGGATAGGTCAATGGAATGGAGAAGGTTTTTCGAGTTCCTTAGCGCTCAGGTATTCCTCAGGCATTTGGAGTTGATATTCACCCTGGAAAGGAGAGGAGATAAATTTCTGATTGCTGTTGTAGAATCTCATCTGTGCAGGCTAGTGTCATCCTGCCTGGAAACCAAGGTGGAACCGAATGCCCCTGATCCTTTAGGATTCTGAGGCCCCGCACATGCCACCTCCTCATTCAGGATTCCACCCCTTCTGTGGGCTCTGCATTGCCTGGAACTTAGTTCCTGCTCCAGAAAATGACTGCTCCTCTCTTGCATCTCCCCTCCAGCCAACTTGCCTTTAGGACGCTCTGTGGGAACCATCTTCCTTGAACCCCACAGAGGACCTCAAATGTTCCCAGTCAAGGCCTGGGGCTCCAGTATGCAGCTAACTGTTAGCATCTCTTCCTAACCGTGTGATGGGTGACACGTTGGTAGATTGAAATCTGGTAGGAGTAGTTACACCAGAGCAGTTGGCAAATATGACAGTCACAGAGGCACCTCCTCCAGGAGCCTGTTTAACACTTACCTGCGAATTGCTGGAGAGGGTTTTCAGGCAGATGTTCTTGCAGACCTCAACCATGGGAAACCTTGCCCATGACTTCTGCCGTGAGAAGCAGGGCCTCTCCAAAACAGAGCCAGAGACAGATCCGACCACCTAAGGGATCTGAGGGCAGTACACCAACAGAGGCCACATCTGCAGCTCCTGCCAAGGTCAGGGCTTCAGAGGGCCCAAGGGCACGTGTCCAGGGCCTTTCAGAGGACCTGCTTGGCGGGCCATCTTTAAGGAAGACAAAAAACAGGTGACTAACATGCCCAGGGAGTATGGGTACACGGTCAGTCTCCCCTTTCCTGTGCCCCTGCACTCAGGAGAAGCCCTTTCCACTCACCCAGCTCTTTCTGCTCTCTCTGCCAGACCCAGAGTCCCAGAGAAAGAGGACAGTGCAAAATGTCCTGGATCTTCGCCAGAACCTGGAAGAGACCATGTCCAGCCTGCGAGGCTCCCAGGTGACTCACAGGTAAGCTCAAACTTTAGAGGATCATGCTCTCAGTCATCCTCATCTGCTCCCTGGGTCTGGTGGTCAGGGCTCCGGGGGTYTCCATATCTCCATGAGGTATCACAGGCCAGCCACACGGCCTGCTGTGTGGCCTGCTGTGTGCACAGTTTTCAGAGCCCCGCAGAGCTAGCCCTGCCGGGAATGAGGTGTCCAGCATCTTGGCAGAAGCAGCTCAGCTTTGTCTTATCTCTGCTTGAGTTTGAGCCTAGATTTTGCTTAGACAAAGTAGTTTCAAAATGGCTAGGTAGGGAATGGGGTGTTCAGAGTGYGGCCTGGTGCTCACTCTCCCTCCTTAGACCTCAATTTCCTCATCTGTCAAAGGGGGCTTTGTTTACTAAATATCCCTCGTGTTCCCCAGGTTCCCCCGTTCTACAATTCCAGAATCCATGCCCTCCCAACATCTGGGGCTCCTCACCCTCCCAACATTTGAGGCTCCTCCGTTAGGTGCCCTCTAGTCTCTTCCATCACCCATGAGGGAGGCCTGAGTGCTCCATAGGATCCACACAATGTCATTCATGCCCCATGGGTGCACCCCTGGTCCAGCCCTCAGAGAGACCTCAGTCCCTCCAGCTGAGTGGGGCATGCACCCCTCCCATCGCACCTCTCCCTGGAGCAGAGTCCTGGCTGTGGCCTCCAAGTGATTCAGATTTTCCTCTGGGCTCCTCTGGGCTGCCCAGATGAGCTCATGTTGTCAGCTCCAAGGAGGGCAGAGGGCTGGGCTGAGCTCTGGGGGTGAGGGAGGGAGAGTAGGCAGCCAAGGTTGGGAAGTCCTGGAGGGTGGACCTGGAGGGCTGTGTGAGGGTCGGAAGCCTCCCCAATTGGCCTGGAAGAGGGTTCCTCCCCATCTCCTGGGATTGGAAAACTGACAGCAAAGTTGGGACATAGGGTCAACGGGTAAAGAGCTTTCCTTAGCCCAGTGTGTGGCCAGCCCAAGTATCCAAACGCACACTTAAGTCCCCTCAGTGACAGAGAACTTTGTAAGCATTCTAGTCCACGGTGGGTTTGCTGTGACTGTCATGGAACTGAACTTCATCCTCAGGAGCTGCCACCCACTGGCCTAGTTCTTCCGTCTTCTTTCTACTACCTTCCCCATCCCCACTCCAGTTCCCCGCTGGAAAGTTCTAGATCTTTCCTCTCAGACATCTAAAATACTATAAATGATAAAAGCAATCAAAGCATCCACTTTCTGGGGTTTCGCTTCTGCTCAGGCCAGCAAGACTCTGTCTCCAGAAGGGGAGGTGATTCCCCTGGAGACCTAGGAAAAATGTGGATRAGAGTCTCCAGGGGCACTGGGACTCAGGCCCCCTTATGTCTGTCTCCCGTCACCCTCCCTCTAGCCCAGAGCTAGAACCTAAAGTGGGCTCATGAGTTTAGAAACTCAATGSGTAAAATCGTGGACATGTTTCTTCCCCTATCCTGGGAAGTTGCTGGAACATCTCTCAGCACCAAGTCACCCGCCAGCCTCATGCCAAAGAAGCTAGAAAGTGCTTAGTTGCTGAAAGRGTCACACCCCAAATGACTCACCCACAGACGCAGGGCAGAGGCAGTCACGCCAGCCTCCCTGTGCCCCGGCCTCCAGCCCCAGCTTCTGCTTCGGTATAGCTGAGGGGGSCTGAAGCCTTTGTGCAAAGCTGACTGGTTTGGCAGGGTGTTGAGGGGCCTCTGGCTCTTGTCTCCCTTTATAGGAAAGGGAACCACCAGCCTGAGGCTGGATTCTCTGTTTACCATGGACCCAGAGCCACTTCCTCTCTTAGCCATTGGTTTATATTATTCCGGTTCCATACTTGGTTAGCCCAGACACCAATTCCCTGACTTTTTGTGGTTCCTTTAGTTTTTAAAGTGCTTTCCATCAGTCAGCCAGTCCCTCTGCCCTGGGGTACACAGGACTTAGGCATATTTCCTGACTAGAGAAGGACCAACTGAGGCTGAAAGGGAAGGCACCTGCTGGGTGGCCCAGGCTGGGAGCAGCTGTGAGCCCACGTGGCACTGGGCATTGGCCTTCAGAGCAAATGCAGCCTCATCCCTGAGGGTCTCTCTGTCCAGAGGGTGCTGCCAGCAAAGTTGCTTTCAGCCAGGCACTCCAAGGTAACTCTGGACTCTTCCAGAAACCTTTATCCCCTTGCTGCTTCCTGTGTTTCTATTGGAGAGAGTGTAGGTCAGGGGCCATGGCTGGAGAGGAAATGAAACTCTGTTCCCTGCAGAGAGTCAAGTCTGGGCTGGTTGTTGGGCTGGAAGTCTGGAACTGAGGGTCTGGGCTAGAGTGCCCCCTGCTGGCTGAGGTCTAGAGGTGTGTTTGGGGGTTACAACAGAACCATGAAAGACAGGAAGAGAGACTTACTGTGCAGAGAGCTAAACAAAAGGCAGGCCAGGAACAGAACTGAGGAACCCGGATGTCCATGCAACACCTCACCTCTGCACAAACCTCTTACCACAGTGTAAGCTAACTACCCAAGCCCACTGCCCTGGAGAACTTCCCATCCATCAGCATGGTCACCACCATCCTCGTCCTCCTTCTCTCCGCCCAGTGGTCATGGTCAGTTTGTGTTTATTAAGCATTTACTTTGCAAGGCCCTGGGCTGAGTCTTGTGATGAGAACATCCCACTTCTTATTCAGCAGTCCTGTTGTGGGGCTGCTCTTCGTTGACCCACAGCTGGTCACCAACTACACCCCAGGCTCATGCCAAGTGCTGAAATACAGCAGTAAGCAAGGGAGACGGTCATATCACGGCCACAGTCTCTGGCTTCAGGGAGCTTCCATTCTCTCCAAGGAGATGAGGTGTCCAGGTCCACAGTAACCAGAAGCTAAAACAACACAGTGTGTGACATAGGACTGCAGAACACAATGAGCCTAAGGGCTGCTGGGAATCTGGTGGGGAGATGTGAACGGGCCAGGAACATTCAAGAGGGTCAGATATGGCAGTCACTAATTGTCCTACCCACAGGACCCCATTCATTGTGCTGTGTTTTTTTTTTTWAATTTTTTTATTTAGAGATAGGGTCTCACTGAGTTGCTTAGTGCCTCGCTATTGCTGAGGCTGGCTTTGAAGTTGTGATCCTCCTGCCTCAGCTTCCAGAACCGCTGGGATTACAGGCATGTACCAATGTGCTTCTTCCCCMCACACACACACACATTGTGCTGTTTTGAAGGGCCATTGGCTCCCTCCAGTTCTATTGAGGAAAAAAATAAAATCCTGCTATTTTCAGGTCCAATAAAAATGATTTTAGGGGATTTTCATTTTTTTCAAGGAACTTTTAAAAACAAGAATAGAAAATCAGTGTCCTCCTCCAATCCCAACCATGAGATGGGTGAAGAAATGGATGCATTCACCAAGCAGATTCTTTGCTTTAGGTGCCCCCATAGGTTGCCTCAAACCGCATTTCATTTTCTCAATCCTGTCTTGACTTTAGCTAAGCCAAGGGAGAGAGACCCTACCTAAGGTTGCCTTGAGCTGGCACCACTGTGAGGCTGGGAATGATTCGTCTCAGTCTGAACCCAAGTCCAGGCCACCTCTGCAGCCAGATCCCAATTGTATTTCCTCTCTGCAGATTCCCTGGCCCCTGAGGAGACATTCCCCACTCCTCAAGCCCCTTGACCTCTCCAGCCTCAGCCCTCTGGTACTACCTGGGCATCACTTCCTTGACCTGGCTTTGCAGGGCCTGAGGCTTGGGACCCTGGGCATCCTGCTTCACCCCTGGCCCACTTCCCCTTTCCTCTCCTAACCAGTGGACGCTGTTTCTGTTCCCCAGGGAGGCTCTGTTTCTTCCTCTGCTGCCCTAGGCCTGCGGCTGGGCCCAGTCTTCCTGGGGACCTGCTGCATGCCTGAAGCTTTTCCTCGGCTCTTCACACGCCAGGCTTTCCTAAAAGATCTGCTGTCTGGGGACCAGCTAGTCCTCAGCTCATTGATAGAAAAGAGGGGATGGCTATAACCTGTATAAAATGAATAGTCAAGACTCTGAGCTCAGGTGACTGGTCCCTCCTACTTCCCCTGGAAGGTCTCATTTGGCCTCTTCTCACTGAGGGAGCACCTTCTATGTACCAAGCACTGTCAGATCTGGTCACCTGTGGTCCTCCCAACTCCACCAGCTCTTAGGCTGTTATCCCCACTGCACAGATGAGGAAATAGAGGGTTTGCACAGTTACTTTCCTTGGGCTCACTTGCCAATAAATGGCCAAATCCACATTACAACCACAGGCTCTTAGGAATACGCTGGAGTGCTTCACCAGCTGCTTAAACTCATTTCCCCTTGACCACCTGAGATGCCTTGTGACCAGGGTGACCCAGGGACCTCAAGGAAAAGCAAGAATCTCGCATGTGAGAGAAGGCATCACTGGGATGCAGCGAGGAGACAGGGCACAGCGCTGCGCTCACTAAAGGAGTGCCCTTTTGCTCTTTGCCCAGCTCCCTGGAGATGACCTGCTACGACAGCGATGATGCCAACCCGCGCAGCGTGTCCAGCCTCTCCAACCGCTCCTCCCCTCTGTCTTGGCGCTATGGCCAGTCCAGCCCGCGGCTGCAGGCTGGTGATGCACCTTCGGTGGGCGGGAGCTGCCGGTCGGAGGGGACTCCTGCCTGGTACATGCACGGGGAGCGGGCCCACTACTCCCACACCATGCCCATGCGCAGTCCCAGCAAGCTCAGCCACATCTCCCGCCTGGAGCTGGTTGAGTCCCTGGACTCGGATGAGGTGGATCTCAAGTCCGGCTACATGAGCGACAGTGACCTCATGGGCAAGACCATGACAGAGGACGACGACATCACTACTGGGTAAGCACAGGAGCCCCTTCRCCAGCTGGAGTGAGAGGCAGTGGAAGGGGATGTCTTCAAAGTAGAGTGGAAGATTTGTGGTGCTGTTGACCAAAGGGGTCTGTGTAGGGCTTCTGTGTACAGGTTTCGACCGCCTCCGCCGCTGTGTTCTGATGCATTTATTCTAGAGCTGAGGGTGGTGCCTGGGGCCGGCATAYGAGGGCCTGATTGGTCAGTAAAGATGCCTCTTCCTTATTGGCCCCTATGCCTGCCATTCTGTGGAAGGCCCCACCTACTTCCCTGGGTCCTCTGCTGGCAAATCTGGATCAGTCCTGGAAGTGTGGRGCCCCTGCACATGCCTGTAATTTCAGCAACTTGGAGGTTGAGGCAGGAAGATCTCAAGGCCAGCTGGGCCACTTAGTGAGACCCTATCTCAAAATAAACAAATAAAAAGAGTTGGGGATGTAGTTTATGGTAGAGCACCCCTGGGTTGGGTCCCTAATACCAGGGAGTAGGGAAAACTCTTAGTACCAGTTCTTCTGCAAACTTTGTAGATCCAGGACATGCCAATCTGCTTGCCTGTTTGCAAAACAGTCTGAAAATGAGCTTGTGGAGAAGCAGGAGTCAAGCAGAAAGTGGTAACAGTAAGGCTTCTTCCTTTGCCGAGAGTTTGTAATCTCCAGTCCCCTTCCTTACCCTGTGACCTCTGGTCCCCTTGGGTTTCTGCCTCTGCAGATCTTGTACCCATAGCTTCCTCGTCCCCACCCCAGGCTAGAAATGGGTAGCTTCTTTCCTGAGCTTTGCCCCACATGGACCTCCTTCTTCTTATCTTTTTTCTGTCTAAATCATCAGGGTTGGGCCCTTGGAAACAAGCAGGGCAGAGGTAGCAGTCTGGGATCTGAGGGGAGAGGACAGGAAGAATGAAGTGCTGGGGGCCTCTGCTGTCCTGGCCAACCTTCCAAGCCCTGGAGACCAGGAAGCTGTCGAGATCCTGCAAGTTTCCCTGGAGCATCTCTCAGCTGACTGTCATTTCCATTCCTCCTTCTTGGCTTGCTGGGACCCCCAAAAAGCCACACCAGTATCCCTCTCCCTTTACCTCTCAGGGACTTAATATCTTACTACCAGTAAAAATCTCCTACTTGAAGGGAATGGAAAGTAGCCCCTCAGAAAAGACTGAGAGCCAAGCTCCAGGCAATCCSCTGTTCCTGCCGCATTCCCACCCCTGGGAATAAACTTGGCGGGGTCTGTCAGGGCCTGTCCAGCTGATGAGGCTGCTCTGGAGCAAAACAACTGACGCATGAATGGGGTTGTTTACTGCTTGTTAAATCCCAGGGGCCAGCCAGACCTCACGCTCAGATCCGCCAGCATATGGCCCTGAGCTGGGCTGTGCTCAGCATCCTGTGCTGGCAGGAAGGAGAGCGAGGTGCCTTGGAGGAGCTGCTGTACACAGCCTCTGCCCCGAGGAAGCGTCAGGTCCCCTTCCTCTGAGAGTTTCCAGCTGGGCAGGGCAGAGGGAAGCACAACGCTGTGGGACTAGGGGCTCAGAAATCTCTCCATGTGTGGGAAGGACTGTGGCCTCAGTCCTACGAGGCTCCCAGAATGGTGAAGGTAATGGGACCCCTGTCCTCAGGGGAGTCCCCCAGACCGATGGAGGTGAGAGCCCTCTGAGAGTCCCCCCCCCCACACACCTTCCCCTGTGTCATGGCAGACAACTCCCCATGTGTGAGAAGAGAGCACCTCACCCCTGCCATGGACAGACCCTGGTCTGAGRGAGGTGGCAGGACTGCTGGCATTTAACTAGCTGTGTGAGCTTGGACACATTAGTCACTCCCCCAGGCTTTCATTTGCCAAGTGCAGACCATAAGAGTACCACTAGCCCCAAGGTCATGGCCCATGATGAGGATTAAAAGAATTCACACATGTTCAGCACTCAGAATAATTCTTGACTCCTTGTAATTAGTCTCTCAGTGTTAACTACTGTTATTATTAGAGTCCCAGACAGATGGGGAGACACAGTCTTGTCCTCAGGTAGCGAACAGTCTCACCAGAGCGCTACTTAGAGTCAGCAGCAAAGTCAGATTCAGTAGCAGTTCACCAATCCAGGGCCATCTAGAGCAGGGTGTAGGGTATGGGATGCCACAGGGAGAACAGGAAAGGAAAGACTCTATCCATATGCTAGCACCCTTTCTTTTCTTTCTTTCTTCCTCCTTTTTTTTTTTAGAGTGGTGGGGTGCAGTACCAGGGATTGTACCCAGTGGTGTTCTATCACAGAGCTACGTGGCCAGCCCTTTTTTATTTTTTCTTTTGAGGCAGGGTCTCACTAAGTGGCCAGACTGGCCTTGAACTCCCAGTCCTGAGTTACTGGAATTACAGGCGTGCGCCACTGTGCCCAGCTTAGTTCCTTTTCTTTATTTGCCTCCTCTGGACTGTGTGTGGTACCTCTAAATCAGTAAAATAATAATAATAATAATAATAATAATAATAATAATAATAATAATAATCAAGAGTTCTTGAGGCTGGCATGAATAAGAACTTGCCCTCCCTGCACACCCACCTGTCGGAAGCCCAGGGATGCCTGGGGTTTGCACGAGGAGCACAGGATAAATTGTTAGCACAACCATACACACAAAGTGGCCCACACTGTAAACTGCAGTGCTAGTGCCCCCGATAATTTCCCATCTATTTTTTTTTTTTTATGATCCATCTTCAGTTAGCAAGAACTCGTAATCCCAGTTTTAAGGTTTGTCATTCAATTCCCTGCCAGAGCTGTAAACATGACCACCCTTAACGGTGCTTAGGAAATCACAGTGGAAGGGAATCAATTTATATTAGTCAGTAATTATAGTGGAAACAGTCCCTCCTGGATCCTGTGTTTTCATGGTTACCTGTTGTTTTTGCTTGCTTTTTTTTGTTGTTTGGTTGATTTTTGGTTTTTGATGAGAGACCGAGCATCCTGGATTCCAGCAAATCTTAAACTCTGCAAACCTGAGCTGCCCTCGCTCAAGACTTCTCAGGGCCCTCCTCTCCCCACTCTGGTCTTTATCCAGATTTTGTCAGTTAGAGAATGTCCTCTTCCTAAGAAAACTGTTTTTCCCATTCAGAAAATGGGTTGGGCTGGTCCCTGGAGGGGCCGCCTTCAGCACTTCCCTCCTCACCCACGTGGTGACACTCCCCCACATGGTGACACTCCTGGTCCTCTGCTGTAGGCCAGGGCCGCCTGCCAGCTGCCATTCCCAGGCGCTCCCAGGGCTGGGCCACCAGACAGAGTGCATGCGCTGATTGCTGGGCTCCCTCCTTCTCCACTGGGTGACACAGTGGGCGCCAAGCGATCCCGCTGAGCCGGGAAGGATGACAGTGACTCTGACCCCTTTTCGGTGCTCTCAGTTATCTGCTGGGGGAGGGTGCCCATGCCACTGTCAGCTCCTGACCAGCCCCTACTCCATCCAGACACCACGCCTCTTCCCAGCTTGCTTGCCACTCACAAGACGAAGAAGGCAAATTCTCCAGACAGGTCCACAAACCAGAATGAAGAGGGCAATGCCAGCTGCCCTGAGAATCACACATTTTCAAAAGTTTAATATTAAAAAATGTGGTGCTTGCCTCGCATGTACAAGGCCCTGGGTTCAATCCCTAACACCACCAAAAAAAAAAAAAAAGTGAAGTATACGCAATGTTTATCGTTTTAAAGTGGCACCGAGTACATTCACACTGTGATGCCACCATCAAGGCCACCCATCTCCAGAGCTTTTTTATCTACCCAGACTGAAACTCCACACACTCATTAAACAATGCCTTCCCTTCCCCACCCCCTCCAGCCCCTGGCCACCTCTGTTCCACTTTTTGTTTCTTTGGATTTGACTACTCTAGGTAACTCCTATAAGTGGAATCAGACCATATTTGTCTTTTTTTATGACTGGCTTATTTTAACTAGCATAATGTCATCTAATTCACCCATGAGGTAGGATGTGTCAGAAWTTTCTTTTTGAAGGTTGAATAATATTCTGTTACAGGTGTATACCACATTTCATTTACCGACTCAKGCATTCATGGATTGTATTACCTTTTGACTATTGGAAATAATACTGTTAGGAACATTGATGTACAAATATCTATTCAAGTCCCTGCTTTCAATTCTTTGGGGTATATACCTRGAAGTGGCATTGTGGATTGTCTGGTAATTCTGTTTAATTTTTTGAGGAACCATAAAGACTGTTTTCCAAAGAGACTTCATCATTTTACATTTCCTCCAGTTCTAATTTTTTTTACATCCTTGCTGCTTACTAATTTCTGCTTTTTTTTTTTTTGATAAAATAATGGCCATCCTAACTGAATCAGTCAGCTTTCCCCTTAATGTAACAAAATGCCYGAGATAATTGACTTTAAAAGAGGAAAGGTTTATTGGTCTTACAGTTTTAGAGTTTGGGGGCCTATTTGGCAAGGGTGGTGCATCATGGTGGGAGTGCATAGGGAAACTATTCACTACTGGCTGTACGGCAAAAGGGAGGCAGAAGACACCAAGATCTCACAACCCCCTTTGAAGGCACACCCCAAAGACCTAGGGCCTCCCACTGCCCCCATCTCTTAAAGGCTCCACCAGGACCAATCCTGCAGCCCATGGGCATTTGGAGAACATTTAGGATTCAAAATATAGCACTAAAGTATGTGTAGTAGTATTTTGTTGTGTTTTTTTTAAAAAAACCTATAATTTTATTTTTTGGCTGGGGATGTGGCTCAGTGGTAGAACACTTGCTTGGCATGCCTGAGGCCCTTGGTTCAATCCCCAGCACTGCAAATGTACACACACACACATAATTTTTAATTGACATATAGCAATTTTACATATTTATGGAGTGTGGCGTGATATTTCAGTGCACATATACAATGTGTAGTGATCAGATCAAGTAATTGGTATATCCATCACCTAAGACTTCTATCATTTCTTTATGTTGGGAACGTTCAAAATTCTATTTAATACCTATTTTGAAAATTACAATTAGTTATTGGTAACTATAGAATATTAG